TTTTTTTTTTTTTTTTTTAACGTTATTGATTTCAAGAGTTCAGGAAGGAAGAGGGAGCGATAGAAACATCAATGATGCGAGTCATTGATTGGTTGCCTCATGCATGCTCCCTACTGGAGATAGACCCTAAACCTGGGCATGTGCCCTGACTGGGAATTGAACCGTGATCTCCTGCATCATAGGTCAATGTTCAACCACTGAGCCATGCTGGCCGAGCTGTGAGTTGCTTTTTTTCTGTGGGGAAGAGAGCAAAGTAAAACCAATCTGCAATCACTAAGAAGAGTCTCAGTGAAAGGTATTGGGTGAGCACCTCTAGTCAATACTAGGTGGTATTCAAGTTCCACACAGAAGTACACACCCTCCAAGTACCTCTAGGCACCAGCTGAGAAAATAACATCCAGGTCAAGTAATGACTTTTCTTGCTAGTAGCTTATCTCAGGAAATTCATAAAATCACACTTCTGGTGTGTAGTACCCTCTAGCTTGATAAGTATTGCTTTTAAAATATGATCATTTAAAATTTTAGCTATCTTTTAGAAATGGAATAATTTTATATTTCTTTTTTTTTTAATATGTTTTTATTGATTTTAGAGAGAGAGGAAGGGAAAGGGATATAGAAACATCAGTGTGAGAGAAACATTGATCGGCTGCCTCCTGCACATCCCCGACTGGGGATCGAGCCCACAACCCAGGCATGTGTGCTGATGCAGAATCAAACTGGCATCCTCTTGGTTCATGGGTCAGTGCTCAACCACTGAGCCACACCAGCCGGACTCATTTTGTATTTCAAATCCCTTCACTGAAAATGGTGGAAATGTCTTTGTTCTTATTCACTTATTTTTATTGTATCTCCCTCCCTTTCCTTAGGATGTTCTAAAATGTCATATTTTTTTCATCATTTGGTCAAATGATTGAGGATGATTGCCTTCCCCAGGTGAACAAGCCTGCTTGGTATACATTCCCACACTCCCCAGCACAGCAGGCAGTTGTCCCTGTCCCACATCCCAATGAGCCTGATTTGGGAAACTCGGTGCTCACCAGACAACCAGTTAGGAAACCTGAAGTTCAGGTCTTTGCTGTGTAAACTTTGAGATTCTCTGGGAATGCCTTCGTGGTTTGATTACCGATTTATACACATAGGTCCAGATGTTGGCACAGACACACGTATGGAATCTGCCATTAACATCCCTTTGTGGTGTTTTGTTTTGTTTCGTTTTTCTTTCATGCTCTGTAACCGCCGTTTGTAGGTCACTCGTGTTCAGCATTATTTCTCCTTTTCTTCCCCCTGCCGTTTTCTTTTTCCCTTATCGTTGTTCAGGTTCCTAGGATAACCAATGTATGGCCAAGGACGCCTTTCCGACCACTTTTTTCTACCATACAAACAGCTTCTCTGCTCAGCTCTCATCCTTTTGAAGCAGCCATGTTTGGGGTAGCAGGGGCTATGTATTATCTGTGTGAGAGAGCTTTTACCAGCAGGTGGAAATCCTCAAAGGTTGGCCTCTTTCTGCTGGTTCTGGGAATTATTTTACTCTATCTCTTTGACAGCGATACCTGAACTCCTGCACTCTGCAAGAATTAACAGCTTAGATGGGCACTTTGCTTCTGATCATTGATTCCAATCATTTGTAGGATGCATAGATCACACCATGATCTCAGTTGAGAGGAAAATAACTTTGAAAGGACAACAAACTCAAAATGCAGCATCAGAGGATAGGGACCTGTGAGTGTCTCTTTGAGTGACCCAGTTTTACAGCAGGAGGAATGCCACCTCCATCTCCATAAGCAGGGGGCCTCTGAGAGCCTATGTCCCACACTCCCTGCCCTGAGCTTCGAGGGGATGTGTGCCCATAGCATGTGTCTCCCCTGGGCTCAGAGAATCTTTCTCTTCCCCAGCACCTTTCATAAAGCTGTGTTGTGATGGTCAGGGTATTATGTGTTTTTTATGATAACCCACTTCTCTGTAGAGAGAAATTTTAAGTTTTCTTTTCATTGAAGTGGTTATTTTAGATATTTTAAGTAATCCTGCATTTTATTATTGTTTTTGAGGTTTTCATACAGAATGTATTTTTTTAAAGAAAATATAATAATCCCCAAACCCCAGTGAAATGAAAAGCCCTGGGACCATAGTGAAGCCCCCCCCCCAGGGTGATGCATGCTGCCTGTTCCAGCTCATACAGGGTCCCTTATTTACTAAACATGGCTTTGACAAGTGAACCAGCAGCGGGTTTCTTTGTAATTCTTTATTACCATCTTGATTTAGAAAAGAAACTTCAAGTGTAAATGAGAAACAACAAATCCCTTTCCCTGTTTATTTGTCATGAAATACAGGATAAATCTCTGACCTTTTCCCCATTTTTGGATCTTGCCATTTGGGCAGTATGCAGGGATGGCATTTTAACTCCCGTCACTCCTGCTAATATTGAAGATCTGTCAACATTTTTTTATTTATTATCAATCCTCCCCAAACAAAGATATCTATACTAAATCCACATATTACTTTAGGCAAAGAATCACTTTGAGTTTTAAAGTTAAACTTGGAAAAAGGAAAGAGTAATTAAACTTAATAGTTGCGATTTTTATTTAAATATGACTTTTAAAACTCAAAGACAATTTTTTTGGGGACAATTTTTAAATATCTGCTAGTTATGAACTTTTTGATAACCAAGAATACTATATAAAGTATTACCATTCCCATGTTTCTCTGGCCCAGTAATCAGATTACACATTTTGTTCTCCTGTTTCTGTACTGCTCAACTCTGACCCCTTTCAAATGGTAAAAAATAACCAAATCTTCAACAAAGACTTGGTGATTTTAGTGACATACATAAAAGTAATTTCTAAAGGCACATCTGCTTCTATAGAATATTGTAATCATTATTAAAACACTTTAAGATTCAGCTTCTCTTTCCCAAATTTGAGAGTCATTTTGAAGCACAAAGAAGCGAGAGAATTAGAGTTGTGCTGGTCTAGTCCTTCCAGTTCCTATTTCACCATGAAAATGAGCTGAGTACTTGCTGTAGGAGTGAGCAAGCCCAGTGTCACCGTGGTAAGAGGGCTTTCCCTCATGGTTACGGTTAAAACCCTGAGTGCTCTTTATGTTTGGAGCATTAGTACCTCAGCAAGATCTGTTAAGGTTTAATTTGGCTTTTGGGATATTGAATCAATACTTTTTGTCAATTAAAACAAATGAAAACTATTCTAGTAACTCTTTATTATTTTCTTTCATGTTGCATTAAAGTTTTGTTGTCCTTGGGAAAGCACCAGAATTAAAACATTAGCATTTGTCCTGATGGAAATTATCTTACTAAAGGGTAATCTACTTGAAATTTTTATAAAGAAAAAGAACACAAAAAAATCCAGTTTCTTATTATGCCCTATGAAGTACTGGATTTGCATATGGTTCAAAACAGTTAGTTGAAAGTATGCTTGACTAAGCCCTTGTGTGACTTGAGACTGAGGAGAGAAGTGCAGGCTGTCAGGTTTATTGTCTGTGCTAGTGAACCCGTGCAGAGCAAAAGGATCCTGTCTACCAGAAATATCTACCAGCCCAGGCATCCAGGTTGTAAAGTTAACTACAGCGGCACTATTTGCCATCTTCCTAGCATACACAACAATAGATCTCAGCAGTGAGTATCTGCTTATTTGCTAGATTTGTACATTATTTTGTTCTAAGTCACAATTTTGTCAGAGTTAGCTGTCTGAAAATGTACCATAGTCAAATGCATAACTCATGAATGAAAATTACCATAAGGAAAAGTTCTATGAAATATGTTCAAAGCTCAGAAAAGCTGTCATTCAGATGTGTGCAGCCAACAATACTTATCTAGTGCAGTTTTTATGTCCCAACCTTCACAGAGTCAGAGCCTTGTCCCATTTGACACTAAACTTTTTTTAAGGGTGGAGCAAAACAGCGTAGATATTGGACATGCCCTGTTTAATCCTATTATCTTTAAAAGCTTTTCCCATTGAAAGAAAAAATTGTGTGATGGTGATTTTTTTAAAGTATTTTAGACATCTTAGAGTAAATTATATAATCTCTGAACAATCTGTCTTCCCAGTCTCCAGATACTAAGTTCTTCATCTTAAAAATTTAATTGCAGGATTTTTTTCCAAAACACTATTAAGCAAATTTAACCTTCCTTAAGTTAGTGTGAACAGAGACGATTTGGTATTGACTGTTAGTAAGAATCAGTAGTTCTTTAAACTACTTTTTTTTAGTAAATGCTAATGTTTGTCAAGTTTGCAACCTAGATTTGTTTTTTTCTCTAATTGAAAGACAGAACTGAATGTGAAAACTGCATTCACAGTCATGTGCTTTCTCATTTGGCTGTTTGATTCCAGAATGCCTGTGACCAGTGCTATTGTGTGTGTGTGGGAGTGAATTATAATGTGTTTGTACTGAGAACACTAAGTTTCAGTGTCACTACACCACAATGGCCCTTGTGAAGCCTGGCAGGGTGCGAATGCACAGGACTGTTCTGTCTTTCTGTTAGATCCACCAATCGAGAGCAGGCCGGATGGGGAGCAGATGGACGTGAGGCTCTTTATTCAGTGGGATCAGTTACATCAACATCTTCCTCAGCTGTTTTTAGGGAAACTATTAACATAAGACAGTCGACATAAATATTTATTGTGAAATTCTACTGATTTTTTTCCACATCCTTTCAATGCTGACTGTGCATTTGGTAGTCGTTTAAAAGTAATAACAGAAATCTGGAGAACTATGGGGCAGCCTGTAGAGATTGCCTTTTGGCTGTAAACTGCACCAGTGTTCCAGCTCCACTCATACTATTAGGATTTTTCAAGATGTGCTGATGTAACTTACCACTGTGCTTCTCGGTGTAAATTACTAACCACCTTCTTTTGGCTATTCTGGGTACCACAAACCAGTGTTTAAAATAGTACCAATGTTTTTTACTTGCTATTTATCTATTAGCATATGGTATCAACACAACACTAAATGTCTTTGTGTAATCATAGGAGACAACTGGCATAAATTTGGTTTAGAACAAGATTTCAGTGCATAGGTACATAGCTAAACAAATGTGAGCAACTTTCACTTTTTTTGAAACTTCAGTAGGCTACAGTGTTTCACATGGTCCCTGTTTGTTTTCTGCCATCTGTTGTCTTGGTGTAATTAGAAATTATGTGGTCCCCAGAGTAAGCCAGCTCTGTTCCAGTGTTCATTGGGACCTCTTTTCTTCTCAGAAGCTACTAACCAGGTGTCTGATCTGGAGGGAAATTTTGCATTGCCAGACAAAGGGGTGGGAGTTTCTTATTCATGTGGAATTTTGAATTTCAGGAGGAATTCTGCTATCCAGTGGAATGCCTCGCTCTTACTGTGGAGGAAGTGATGCATATCCGTCAGGTCCTGGTGAAGGCAGAGCTGGAAAAATACCAACAATATAAAGATGTCTACACTGCCCTGAAAAAAGGAAAGGTAGAGCTGTTTCAAGTTGATTGACAAGCAGGGTTAGCAGAATGGTCAGTCACATGCATGTTCTCCTGAGGGAGCTATCTACTAGCCAGATGGTGTAGGACTTTAGGGGATTTTAGGAAGTAAGAGGCTTGTTCTCCAGAAGTCAGTTCCTGTTCTGCCTTGCTCACCAAAGTGAGTATTTTCTCCCTTAGAAATAAACTCGGGAAGGTTTAAAACAACCAGAATGAGTAACAGTAGACTCCTGCATGAAGCCATGTCTGCATTTAGTGTACAGGGAAGACTTCCAGAACCTTCTTCCCGTTGCTTCCATGATGGCGCGACGAGAGAGCTGTGGCCTTTTACTACCTTTTAAAAGTAGAATTATAATTAAATACAGAGCTGTGCTATAATTATCACAGAGCGAAACATTAAAGCAGGGTTTTTATGTTCTTCCTTCTGTGCCCTAAACTTCCCCAAGTGTGTAAACGTAAATCGTATTCAACCGTGGAAATTAGGGAATTAACTGTCGGCCATGCTTTTTTCTCTCTTTTTACATTTGTATTTTTTAGCTTTGCTTTTGTTGCCGAACCAGGAGATTTTCCTTCTTCACCTGGTCTTATACCTGTCAGTTCTGTAAGAGGTAAGGTGTGTTGTGTTTTTTTTTTGTAATTGATGACAATAGTCAAATACCAGTTAACTTCATTGTTTCATTATTTTTCTACATGGGAACAATATTAAAAACAATCTGTTACCACATTGTGCTGTGCTTGTGGGTAAGGATTCTTCAAGAGTGGATCAAACAGTTATTTGGTGTTAAACCTGGAAAATGGTTCTCTGCATTTATTTCTTTTACATAACCAAGATAATTCTAATAATATTATGTCATGTTTGAACAGAAAAAAGTAGATGTGATTGTCATATGACCCTTGAATAGACAAATAAGAAAATTCCAGGTGTAAGTTGAACCTTTTATAAGAAACAGTATAAGAGTTAAGTTTTACAGATTATCTCTTTAGCAACCACAGTTGTATCAATTTGTTATATTCCAATTGAAGGACCAGAGAGTTTTTGCAGTTTATTGTAGAAATTCACGACCATGCAGCCATTGGCTCCTCTAACTTTCCATTTGCATCTATGGTATCATGCCAAGTAATACTTCTGATTTTGTATACAGGCCCGTGTGCTCACAGTGTTGCAAAAAGGTAAGCTAAGCTTGGTGACATCATAACTTAATAGTAGTTTTAATAGCCTGCTTTTTTTAACAGTACTGCTCACTCAGTTTTGTTTGGGATAACAGATGCGGCTGCCATCCAAGCCATACTCCACTCTTCCTATCTTTTCATTGGGACCTTCTGCCTCACAAAGAGGGGAAAGTTGTATGAGGCCAGAAAAAGCCTCCACTAGCCACCAGCGGCCACTTCGGAGCATTGCCAGGTGAGCGAGCGGCCCGGGTCTTCAGAGCATCCTTTGGAAAAGAAGAATGCTCCTTCTGAGGACTGTGGTAATGTGGCAGGTTTGAACTCAAGAGGGCTTGGGTCTCTTGGTTAGTTGGTTGGTTGGTTGGTTGGTTGGTTGGTTGGTTGGTTGGTTGGTTGGTTGGTTGGTTTCAATATAGTTTTGACTTACACACAAATCTTCAAAACTCCCAAAAGGTAACTTGTCAAGGGATAGTGGTTAGCTACTTGAAGGACACTTTACTCTCATAGTTTATTTTTATTTCTATTTAGAAATACTTTTGTGTGTCCTTTAAAAGTCATCTTTAAATCTGCCCTTGTTTTCAGTGGAGTTGAAAATTCAAATAATAGTTTAATCTTTCTTTCCTTCTTTAGTTTTGAAAGAAAATCTATTTAATCCTATGTTTACAATGGTCTTCGATTTAGTTTCCTATTGTAAAGGCAAAAATGAAGCTTTATGCCAAGAACTGGCAATTTAAAAAAAGAAAAAGTTGCCTGAATATCACAGTCCCTTTGCATTTAATACAAAGTAAGGGTAGTGTTTGTCCTTAAGAAAAGTGGAAGGAGAAGGTCAGGCCACCTAGGGTCACATACTGTCAGGGCCTGAGAGGGTTAGGTTTGATGCAGCAGCCACCCCCTGGGGAGGAGGAAGGGGGGAAAGGGGGTGGACACTGGCATTGGTGCCAAATGCTAGACAGAGCTACTCCAGCAGGTCATGACTCTGTGGACAGTGAGGCAAGAGGGCTGTGAGGCCAGCAAGTAACTTGTGCCCCAAACTGTTTGTCCCTGTGCTATCAACTCTCTGCTCAGACACTCCTGCTCCATGATGACCTCTGATCATGGATTGTCACCTGTGGGCTCAAGGCAGTGCAAATAATGATCTATTGTTCTTTTCTGTACTTACTGTGAACCTATGTTCCTGTTGGTTTAATTAAAATGCTAAATGAATAGTGATTCATAGTTATTTCAAAAAATTAACCAAAATATTTATTATAATGTTGGTGTAGTTAACTCCAGCTCTCCAGAATCCAAATAATCAGTCACCCAAATATAGAGATAAATACAAAAATTACAAGATAGCTGTGGTCCAAAGATAATTTTTCAGGATGTGTCATAGGATTAATATAAAATTACTTCAATTTCCTCCTATAGTCTAACCCACCATCTACAATTAACTGATATTCATCAACCATGACACTGGAAAAAGAACTTGAAGTTCTGAATCATCAGTAGGACGTTAGCAACTTGTACTTTATTTTATCTTAGTTGTTAAAGCTCATAATCTATATATATGGTAATCAGGTGATGACTCTGAATAGCCAGTTTTCTAAACATTCTAGAAGAGATCCTAAGAATTTTCCATATTATTTCTCTCCTTTTTTTCCTTTATTCCTCAGTCCCTCCACCCAC